AAATTAGTCTCTATATTTAAAGAGACACATATTTTGGAAAATAATAATGCTAAAAGTCATAATCTTTCATATAGAAAGACACATTTTCAGCCAAATAATTTCTAGAATATTCCATAATATTCTACGCACTTTTTCAATAATTCACGTATTTAAGTGATTTAAAATTTTGCTTAATTTTCTATTTACCAAATAATACAAAATTTTCAGCAAAATTTCAACAATCCCCCACATGAATGTAAATTAATGCAAATATCTATGCAAACACTAGTAGAGAGAGAGCGGAAAAACACTGCATCAGGGATGGTAGCTTCTGGCCTTGACCCACCCTTAGTGAAATACCATCGAACTTACTCGGCTAATTGGTAAACGTGATGTCTTGAACCATTCGGCCTTTAGTGTACTCCAAACCATTTTCATTCTTGAATTTAAACATGTGATTCTTCATATCGAACCTTGCATAAACCATTTAAATAAAATTAATCATTTTCTAAAATCAAATATGAAAAAATGAAAATCAGAAATAAGAAAAGAAAATTAGATGCAAGCGATGCGATTGGCCGAGGCGAGTATAACTCTTTTCTTAAGATGAATTTGTCTCGCATCGATGCTAACAATTTTCCGACAATCATCTCTCGAGATACAACGACCACGTCAAGCCATAGGAGTACTCCAAATGGCTTCGACTAGCGAACTCGAATGGAATTCCCTCTCTACCATAACCATGATTTTTATGCAAAAGATAATCACTTCTACAATGTGTTTTATGCATAGTAAAGTGTAAAATATGGAATGGAATGGAATTTTTGAGTAAATAAATCCAAATATATGGGGTCACTATATAGATGTTGAAAAGGTTTGTCTCAAAAGACACAACCTATGGAAAATACACAACCATTGAAATTAGTTTCTATATTTAAAGAGACACATATTTTGGAAAATAATAATGTCAAAAGTCATAATCTTTCATATAGAAAGACACATTTTCAGCCAAATAATTTCTAGAATATTCCATAATATTCTACGCACTTTTTCAATAATTCACGTATTTAAGTGATTTAAAATTTTGCTTAATTTTCTATTTACCAAATAATACAAAATTTTCAGCAAAATTTCAACAATCCCCCACATGAATGTAAATTAATGCAAATATCTATGCAAACACTAGTAGAGAGAGAGAGCGAAAAAACACTGCATCAGGGATGGTAGCTTCTGGCCTTGACCCACCCTTAGTGAAATACCATCGGACTTACTCAGCTAATTGGTGAACGTGATGTCTTGAACCATTCGGCCTTTAGTGTACTCCAAGACAACGATACTCACACAATGTCTTCCCTAAACCGTTCATGGTTCTCATGACTTTATTCATTTGGGTCCTGAACCCTTCTTGGTTCTGCGAGTGTTTAGAGAATTTAAGCCTTGAGTAATTCTCATTGAAGCGGCCCCACTTCATATTCACATAGGTGACCTCCTATTAAGAGTATTATGCCCTTCTCCACTTGACTTAATCAAGATATAGGAATTATTAATAGATTATCTTAACCTCTTGCAATTTTGCAGAAAGCACTTTAATGTCATAGGAATGAGTTAGGAAATTATTTTCCTTAGTGCTTAAATGGAGCCCTCATAACTTAGTTGTCCCTTTGAACCAAGATCTTGGGATCTCCAGTCAACAAGGTAAGGTTACCATTACAAAGACTCTAATGTAGTAGGCTTCAATCTCATTCCTTTTGATATGTAGTATACTTAATCTCTCGGTAAATCTCTTAAAAGTACCACGAGTTTACACCATTGAGATCAACTGCTCAATGATATTATGTTTATAGCTTATACGTCTAGATCTACAATTACATGTGACTTAGTATATTATCAAATATTGCTAGCCAACGATCAATTTCATTTAATAGATACAAATTTTAACCATCAAGAAATCCTCTCATGAAGCTACATGCTTCTTATTAGCTTTATCAATTTCCAAACACGGTTGGAGAATTTCTATCAAACACTACACTAATCAATCACTTTTACTAGTAGATTTCAAAATCATGGGTATTCAATATCATCATTGAAACATTACCATGAATTTGAACTTTATGAATATTCTTCATAGATTCCAATTGTTCTTGCATGATCTTTCCACCTTCATTGATATCGTTCTTGATTATAAAATAGAAGCAAACGTAACTGTTAAATTGAGTTACCCCCACAGTTTCTCAATTGAGAATATATATGCAATTTAGTAATGTTGCATCCACAAGTTTTGAACTTTCCATTTCAAGTTCACAAGCATTAAATTTAACCCCCCACATTCTTGGGTTATACTTGAACTTAGAATTGAGCAACTCTTTTATAGTTCTATTCAATTATCTCTTAGATAATATCCGTATCTAGTGTTTCGTGAAATTCTAAGTACTTTCAAAATAGTGGTCGTTGACTCACAATTTATTTCAATTAAAGTTGTATATAACGTACTTCAATCCAATTATTTTAATTTGATCATCCAAATTAAATCAAGGCCATAATATAAACCAGTAATGATTTCCAAGTATAAACCAATTTAATTGGTCTCGCGATTGAAGTCAATTTCAACAGTGAAAAGGCCTAAGCATCTTGATTCACAAGAATCACAACTTCTCTTATCATATTGTGACATTTCATATGATAGTTTCATTTCATGTCAAATAATAAGGTACATATTCACCATATTCAAACTTAAACGAACAAATCAACCATATGTTAAAAAGTTGTGTTCTTAGGAGACACATCCTTACAAAAGGACACACCTCTTAAAATAATATTTATGAAGAGACATAGCCATTGAAAAATAATTATATCAAAAATCATGATTTTCATATGAAATGATGTACATTTTAATCTAAATTGATCCTAGAATATTTCATAATATTCTACATAATTGATCACCAATTCCAAGTAATCAAATTGGGACAAATTACATTTTGTCATATTCTTATGCAAATATAATTTTGCACAAACAATCCCATTTAATTTTATTGAAGTCAGAAATTTAACTAAATCATTACATTCAAACTTTTCCAGATTTAAAAGGAAGTTCAGCACCATTGCCAACTTTAGGCACAATTTGTGCTCTGCAAAATATTTTCATGTCTTAATATTTTTGCAAGAATTTCCACTAGAACAAATCACAATTTGTCATATTTATGCAAATATAATTGACATTAAAGTCATCTTACTTAATTTCATAGGATTAAATGAGGCTATCAACATTAATCAAAATTATTATAATTTCAAAAAGATATGAAACCAACTAATTTACCATGTCATGTTTCATATTCCAATAAAAGAATATTCATGAAAGTTCATATACTTTCACAATTAGTTGACATCTATTTCAGTAACATTGGAGTTGTACCAATGACCAACATATATAGATCTTATTTCAATAAATATACATGTCATATTATTTGATAGGATAATCAAGTTGATGATATATTACGAAATTGGATTTGAAAATGCATTTAAAAAATGAAGAGTCATCATTTAATAAATTGCCTTAAAAACAACATGCACTTTTTCAAAATAAATCAACTTCATGGTCCTTGACTAATTTATGGAAAGACACGTATTGACGGCCATATATATTGATTAACAATTGCAACCATGTGCAATATATAATACTTCACTTTCATCATATACTAAACAAATGGATGACGTGGACACTTAAGACACAATTCATATAATAACATAATAGTTTCTCATGTATGCATCATTCAAGAGTTGCATAGAACCTCACTGAGCATAAAATATAAATCGGTGTCGAGCTTATACAATCAGATTTTATCATCTAATCCATTTAATACTTTATTCATGCAAACAGAATAATGAAAAATATAAATGCACGAAAACAAATTTCATCTTAAGATTATTGGGGAATACACCGATTCAAATGTGCATATTGTATTCACAAAACGTAACTTACACGTTCACGAAATCGAAATAAGGTTTCGACTTGCCGAAATGGAATTTGAGAAACTAACCAATGATTATCGAATCTAACCATTTCCATTTTTGAATTAAAACCTCGCAGAACAAACATATAAATAATATCAATCATTTTCTGAAATCAAATATGAAGAAATGAAATCAGAAATAAGAAAAGAAAATTAGATGCAAGTAATGCGATTGGCCGATGTGAGTATAACTCTTTCCTTAAGATAAATTTGTCGTATCGGTACTAAGGATTTTTCGACAATCATCTCGCAAAATACAACAACTACGTCAAGCCATAGGAGCACTCTAAATGACTTCGACCAACGAACTCAAACGGAATTCCCTCTCTACCATAATCATGATTTTGATGCAAAAGATAATCACTTCTACAAAGTGTTTTATGCATAGCAAAGTGTAAAATATGGAATGGAATGAAATTTTTGAATAAATAAATTCAAACATATGGATCAATATATAGATGTTGAAAATGTTTGTCTCAAAAGACACAATCTATGGAAGAGACACAACCATTGAAATTAGTTTCTATATTTAAAGAGAAACGTCTCTTAAAAATGATAATGTCAAAAGTCATAAACTTTCATATAGAAAGACACATTTTCAGCCAAATAATTTCTAAAATATTCCATAATATTTTACTCACTTTTTCAATAATTCACGTTTTTAAGTGATTTAAATTTTTGCTTAATTTTTCATTCACCAAATAATATAAAATTTCCAGCAAAATTCCAACAAAAATACGTAAGTGTATTGAATTTATTGTCTAGCTGGGCAAAAACGTGCTTATTTAAACACACGCAATTTGAAAGCACAATTAGGATGATAAAACAACACTAATGAATTTTTCGTGCTCCGTATCTACAATTCCGTTATTTCAGAAACTTTTGAGCTATCATCAATATCAGAATCCATTTTTGCTGTCCCAAAATCACCAATTTTTTGTTCCAATTCAGAGTCCCTATGTTGTTTGATTTAATGTCTCTGTGAATGATCTTAGGCACACAATCATGGTGGAGTTATGACAATCCCTGAGCAATGCCAAGAGCAATAAGAAAACGAGTTTCCCAATTCAAAGGCCTTCGCGGTTTTTCTTGATGTACTAATTCATGAATAGTTCCCCCTGGCATGTAATCTGTTACAATATAGCCATATCCATTTCTGATGCTGTATCCTTCCATTTTCACCACATTCTGGTGTCTGATCAGACTTAAAGTTCTCATTTCCATGCTAATTTTAATCTTGGATAAGTCCACTTTCGTAGCGGTCCAGTTCTTTCTTGATCTCACAGATTGTGTTCTGTAAACTGTCCCATGCTTGCCTCTTCCAATAACGTATTTATCACTCGAACGTTCTGTTGCATGTAGAATGTCCTCGAAATTTAAGTCTTCGGGTAAATCTTCTGTTCTTGACTGGGAATTTAGGAGAGATTGATCGGTTAAAGATGATTTTTGTACGTGCATCATAAAATGTACACTGCTGCAAGAAGAAATGCCTGCAACAGAAGGACTGGGGCAAGGATCCCCGCTAGGATTTTTGCTCTAGTATGTGATTTTCTGTCTCCTTCTCTACAATTAGTGGATTCAGTGCTTATTAAGCAGAGTTCAGGGTTTCCAGGTGAAAATCCTGGATGTGAATCCATGATTTTTGCCCAGGAATCTGGGATTCTGCCTGAGAGAAGATTAAAAGGTATGTTGACAACTGAAAGTGATATCATATTGTTTACTTCTGAGGGTATTTCACCAGAGAAACCATTGCTTGAGATATCAAGAATCTCTAACTTATCAAGATTGCTGATGCATTTGAGGATTTCTTCATAGAGTTTATTCATTCCGAGATTTAAAACAGAACTAAAATGTTGAATTTTACTGAGACAGAATTGAATAGGACCTTCTAGCATGTTGTTTCCGAGCTGCATCTCTTGGAGGCTTTGTCTACTAGAGAGATTCAGGAATAACACCGTTAAATTTGCTTTGTTGAAGTTGGATGCTTTTCATGGTAAAAGATGATAAGATCCCTGGTGGAACTAGTCCAGAAATATTATTCGTGCTAAGGTCTAATTCTGTTAGTTTTGGACAATGAGTCAGTTCCCAGGGAATTTCTCCTGTCAAGCTGTTGGAAGAAATCCTTAAAACTTGAAGATTTTGAAGGTTTCCAAATTCATTAGGTATTGAGCCAGAAAACTTATTATCTGAGAGATCAATCATCGAGAGATTGCTACAGCAACCAGATCTTATTGGAATTCTTCCCTCGAGCAAGTTGCCACGAATATCAAAGTAAGAAGTGCTGGAGCTCTTTTCTATATCATCCGGTATGCTTCCTTGCAGAAAATTATCACGACGAATCACCCTATTTAGAGTCTTGCATTGCATGATTTCCTTGGGGAAACGGCTACTGAAGTTATTATTTCCAAGTGCCAAATCTACGAGTTCATCGCCAGCACATATGCCAGAAGGAATTCTTCCATCTAGATGGTTTCCAGTTAAATCCAGCTTCACTAAACCAGGAAGGTTTTTCTTCCGAAGGTCTGATGGAATTGCTCCAGTGACATCGTTGTGAGCTAAATAAAGGAAAGTAAGGTTTTTTAAATTGCTAAAATCGAAAGGGTAGAAGCCTGTCAATCTATTATTATACAGGGCTAATTTGTCAAGACTGCTCATTCTATCTATACACCGAGGAAGGTGACCCTAGATTTGATTGTTGAACATGTGAAAAACCTTTAGACCATGCAGTTCACAGATTTCAGAAGGCAAATTTCCGCTAATGAAGTTATGTTGAAGCCTGATTTCGACTATAAAACTACAATTTCCAATCTCTGGAGGTAAGAAACCAGTCATATTCTTGTAAAGGAAAAGAATATTCAAATTTCTGAGGCTACTATCTTGGAATGTGTCCAGTTAAGTTTTTTTTAGAGAGATCGAGGTACGTTAGCAGATTGAAATGACTAAGGTCTTCTGATATACTTCCGTTGAACATGTTGGCCGAAAGAATAAGCTCATTTAAATTCTTAAGATCCCATAAGGACTCAGGAATTTCCCCTTCAAACTTGTTTCTGGCAAGATACAGAAATTCAAGTTCCAGGAGGCCTTTGAAGGTATTCGGTTGAATAATTCCCCGAGATTGTTAGAAGACGCATAGAGAACACTGAGGTTATGACAGTTGCTCAAGTAAACTGGTAAAGGACCAGAAAACGAATTTTCATGAGTCCAAAAATCAGCAAGTGAACAGAAGGATGGAAAATCAGGCAAGGATTTCGTTAGATTGTTCATGCTTAAATAGAGAAATTTCAGATTTGATAGAGTAGGTAATTCTACAGGAATCTCCCCATTCAAGAAATTGTCATTCAACCCAAGATATTCAAGACTGTTGCCTTGGCCTACCTCAGGGGGGAATGATCCCAGTGAGCAGATTAAATCCTAAATCAATCTGTACAATTTCCCTTGATATGAAAAGCTGAGCAGGAATTGATCCAGAAAAGCCATTTTCATTGAGGAGAATCGTATTGAGTTTGCTGCAGTTTCCGAGCAGGGCTGGGATTTTTCCTGTGAAATTGTTCCCAGATAGATCAAGAATCAGCAAATCAGGAAGTTTACGCATATTGGAAACTGATATTTCCAAAAATCCCTGAGAGGCTGTAGTGCTTGAGATTTGAAGATTCGACGCGAAAATATTTTTTTGAGTAGCAAGAAACACCAGGCCATTGGCAGTGTTAAATGGATTCATTCCACTGCAGCATAAACCGAGACAGTTCCAGTAGGTTGTTTCAAAACTGAAGAAGATGAATTGCATCTTGAGGCAATGAGACTGATAAGACTGAACGCAGGTTCATCAAGAAAAGAACATAACCAAGAAACAAGAAAACCATGGTAGTTCTGAATACTAGATAAGGTGCAAACAATCTCTCATAGCTGTTTTTTGAGCATACAATTCATGGAGCATTGACAGATGTTGCTGGTGGTGCTGTCTGCTGATGTTTTTTAACCCAGTTTTCTTTGTTAGTTCTTAGGAACTACCTATTATAACGAAGGCGGTGGTGTTGTTTGCTCGAGGCTTTTTAACTGATTTTTGTCGGACTATGTAGAGTTTAATCACATTGAGGCCAAACGGCCTAACATTAGGTATTCCTACATATACATTATGAACCATTTACAACCAATTTTTCAGAGTGAGATTTGTGAGATGACCATTTATGAAAATTTACATTAGCTATGTAGCTCTTATATTGATGGTGAACAACTTTTGAATTATAATCATTAATGTATATATATAAATTTTTTTTACACATTTCTAATCTTTTTTTTGCTTATTATGTTTGACGAAGGGTCAAACTCTAATCGTTAATACTTTTATAGATCAGTTATAGGAGCTATCAGTAACAACGTAAGTAATGCTGTTTGTCGATGTTTTTTTTTACTAAAATTAACCCCCGATCTTTTAGAAGAATTACCCGTAATAATGAAGATTAAACTTTCAGAAGATTAAGTTGGAGAGAATACGTTGGATTTATGTTTCAAGTTTCACATGTTTTGGTCGTTGTGTGCAGGTGTTATTAAAGAATCAAACTGTATGTCAGCTTTAAAGTAAAGGTTTAGTAGTAGGATTGGCGCAATGGGGAGATTCCAACAAGTTGAAAAAGAACAATTATGACATAAGTCATTTTACTATTATATAAAAAAAGTAATAAATAATGAATAAATTTCATCATTGCTTATTATTTATCCTTTAATAAGCAGAGCAGTGACTTGTGAGTTCTTATCTTATTTCATTGACAGGCTTGTACACTTATTTTGAGCAGTGTCGATCCTGATTATAGGAGGAGTAGATGATTGTCTAAAACCCCACTTTGATAAGGGGCCCCAAAAAAATTAATTTTTTATTTTACATGTATTTTTACGTGTATATAGGGCCTCATATTTGAAATTGGTCTAAGGCCCTCAAAATCTCAGAGTCAACCTTGATTCTGAGTTGAAGCAAGAAGAAAAGAAAAAAGAAAAAAATAGACATTTTGACGAGAAAAAAATAATAGAAGCCTATTTTACAAAATAATGTCCTAAGACAAACTTGGACATGGATCGATCCGTAGAGCTTCTCTGCGGTCACGAGCTGGAGGTTGAGGCCTAAGCACTAGAGAAGGGATGAGAAGAGCAAGACTTGTAATGAAATTCTGGTGACAAGAAGCTAAAAAGCATTCATGAATAATAAGTTTGTGAATCTTTAGTCTTGCTTTCCTAAGGGTGAGTGGGAGGTGAAAGAGCAAAGCAAATGTTTTGGAGATAAAAAAGAGTCGATCATATGAAGGGTGAAGTTAATGCTTTAGAGTCTGTACGAGTAAGGTCGAGTAGTGTCAATTTCAATATTCTTTGTTGCGTCTATTTGATTGCCTAATTTTCTATCAAATTTGTTTTAGTGTTGTCCCGTCAAAACATCGGGAGTTATTGTCAAGATCTTCCTTGTTTGCTGAAAATCGATCGTCATCCAATGTCCACATCTATCAGAACAATGAAATATCGTAGTGCGAAATGGTTAGTTGCATAGGAGAACAATAAAACCTCTCTCTAAAAACTTAAGCTTTAGACATAATTTAACAGGTGAACTAGGCTCGGAATATTTCCTCGACTACTTGTAGATTGCATAGCCATTTTTCAATGTTACAAAACCAAATAATTAGAGCAAGTCGAGGCTTGAATTTTTCGTTGATTGAGAACTTGCATCTGACTCTCTTATTGCAAGACGAGTTTCCACGTACCCTTCACAAGACAGTCTCTTGCATTGATCACATACATGAGATTTCACTTTGAGTAAAGATTATATGCATTGGAGAGTCCATTTTGCCCGGCATTCAACCACTGTGACCTCCTCCTGCCTAATGCATTATCCTAATTCCTATGTTTTGTGCACATTCCACCATGCTTAGTTTACCTCATTCAGGCTCCATCTGTAATTGGTTTTAGGGTCTCGAATTTTGATTATCAAACAATCACATTTCATAATATGGAAATTTGGGTAGACAGAGCATTTTGAAGTGATTTTATATTGATGGTCTTGTGTGGGCCTTACAAAAAACAAGAAGAAAAATGGGTCCAGTCTGCATACAAGACATTTTTATAAAAGGGCTGAATTCTGGCAGGTTCCTTGATGGATACAAAAAATAGAAACTAAAATTCTGGTTCTTTCGCGAACATAGTAGAAACCTAAAGAAAGAAACTAGCAATAGCAAGTAAGGTATCACACTCTACTCCAGAAACCTCGATATTTATCTCAGACATTCAAGATTTCTCCACACCGTTCCTTCACTGCCTATAAATACACACCCAAATTTTTTCATTTCCTTATCAAAACCAAGATTAGTGATTAATTTCTTCGATATGGCAGCTACACGTTTAGCAGCAAACAACATTTTCAGGACACAGAACAAATCTGTTGGTGTCGGGTCGTGTTCTGTGTTCTTTCCATCAGCATGTAAGGCCATAAGAAAGGCAGTGCCGCCGTCTAGAGTGTCAATTGTGAGAGCTCAAGCCTCCGGCGATAAGCAAGATACTTCAGTTGATGTACAGCATCATTCCGGCAGTAACAAACAGGGCACCGCTGTCGAGCGCCGTCCCCGGAGATTGGCCATGGACATCTCTCCTTTTGGTGTGTCTTTTGTTCCCTTATTTCATTCACAATTTTAAGTTTCTTTTCTTCGAAGTCAAATTCTCAAAATTTTATGGAATTGTTTGATAATAGGGCTGCTAGATCCTCTGTCTCCAATGAGGACAATGCGGCAGATGCTGGATACAATGGACAGACTATTTGACGATGCCTTGTCGGTAACCGGGGAAATACGAACCCCATGGGACATAAAAGAAGAAGAAAATGAGATCAAGATGCGATTTGACATGCCAGGGATATCGAAAGAAAATCTCAAAGTCTCTGTAGAGGATGATATACTTGTTATTAGAGGTGAACACAAGGGGGAAGAAAAAGACCTCGACTGGTCGAGGAGGAACTACAGCTCGTACGATACTCGACTAGAGCTTCCTGATAACTGTGTGAAGGATCAAGTGAAGGCAGAATTGAAGAATGGAGTTCTTTATGTCTATATTCCAAAGGCTAAAGCAGAGAGGAAAGTGATTGATGTAGAAATTGAGTGAAGTTCTTTCAAGAGAAATATGGTGTGATGTTTTTTTCGGCGATGTTTTTGTAATGCTTTGTTCATCTCTGCTTGTGCGTCAATACAAGTTTGTATAGTTTTATTCTCTCTTTTTCTTTTATATTTAGCTTTTGTTTAAATATGTGAAAGAATTTTTGGGCATATAAAAAGCGGAATCTTTCCGACCCGAAATTTTGTGAACAATGCAGAGTTAAAGATGCGAGATCGAGGAAAGTAGGGTTAGGTTTCCGTTTGTTCATTTGTTTCGTTAGTTCATTGCATAGAATTCATTAAGTTCTAAAAGTATTGAGTCTTGTAACGGTCGGTCCACTTCTTTTGTTAGCTGACTGTGCGACCAAAATCAAATGCACCAGACTTGGATTATAATTTAAGCATGTGTTGACACATAAAAATTCAGTCCAAATCGAACAGCCCAAGGAGTAAAGTCCAATTGGAGAATTCTCAAAACGGATGGCCCAAAGAATGAAGTCCAATCGAACGAGTCAAGGTGAAGGTCCAAACAAGGGGCCGAAGAATGCGGTAACGTCATCGCCCAAGTTTGCAAGTCGCTCAGAATCTGAACGAATGGGTGTCATACGGTCGTCCAGAGCTGTTATTCTACTCTCGCCCAAACGTTCAAGTCATCCAAGGTGTCAACAAACATAACGCATCGTAGTTATCAAGGAATGCAGTTATCAAGGCAGTTGTTAAAGTAGTCTTATCACGTTCCACAACTCAAGGAATTCAATCGAAGGCAGTTGAACGATGAAAGATAATGGCAGCAGTTAAAAGGCGGTTTCATGACAAAATGGCCACTACAAAGAAAGTGGGTAGTTATAGGACGATCAAGCAGTTTTCAGAGTAGTTAAT